AAAAACAGAGCAGGATGCATTAGCATTACTTTTAACCATCAGTGTTGTACGCTATACAAATTATTGCCAAGCAAACTTTAAAGGATTCAGTTAAGCTTTGCAAGTTGAAAAGCCTCTCAAGTCAAATACAGCCAGTACAATGATGAAATAGTTATCAATACTTCAATAGCTTCTACAGAGCTTGCTAAGCAGAAGTATTGTGACAAGCCAGAGCATCACAAGGCATGAAGTCACATAATCACTAGGACTTCAACTTAATGCTGACAAAAAAAAAAAACCCTTCAAAATCATTAAAGTGCGGGAAAGAAACAGTTTGCAGCTACTGATTAATTAGTAATGCATCTCTGACAAGTAACCCTTCAATCATTAAAGTGCGGGAAAGAAACAGTTTGCAGCTACTGATTAATTAGTAATGCATCTCTGACAAGTCATATCCATAAGAGATATGACTTTGTTGCACTTCACTGCAGTTTCTCGCCATGAGTTCAATGTTAACTTGGTAGGTTTACTTCGTCCTCGTATCTTGTCACGGTTCACATTTGTTCCCCATCTAGCTTTACTTAAGCAGAATGAAAGCAAGCCAGAAAGCTTCCTTTCCTGGTTTTGAGACTGAAAGATTTTTAACTTTGGCAAAGTTGTATTTAAATATAACATTTTCATAACTTGTTTTCTGATACAGGACTCAATAGCCACAATGCCAAAAAGTTGCCTTTTTTTGGAAAAGGAAGCTGTAAATATTTTAGTGCAGGTCAGCTAGTAGCTGAGTAGCATTAAACTCTTTCAGCTTACACATTATGTATGATACATGCATAATGGAAGGAGGAAGAAAAAAATGTCATGTCATATTTCAGACTTATTTAATTTTCAGTACAAATACTTCACTTCCATGACTGCTTTCAGACCTTCAGGCTGCAGAAGTCCAATATGAAGTTCTAAACACAAGTAGCAGTTCTGTGCAAACAAAAATGACGAGAAACTTGCATAGAGCGAAGCTGTTCATGCATACCTCAGCACGTATGCATTCCATACTTAAGTATTCATACCTATCCCAGAAGGTCTTTGACTCGCGTAACTTGTTGAAATGGAACGCTTGGTAGAATGCAGTTGACGGATTCCTATGAGATCCAAGAATCAAACAGACATATTGAAAATGGGTACGTAATAAAAATACTCTCTTATGCAACCTGCATTACAAAGTAAATTAGCTGTCCAGACAGGTTAAATTTATGTCCAAAAGTTTACAGACTTCACAGAATGCCTAAAGAATGGTTTAATGAATGAAAGGCCTTAATGTTTCTATGGGTTTCCATTAAGGACACTGATTCAAAAAGAAAAAGTAATCCTCAAGCCCTATGGATTTTCATGCTATTTCAAGTTGCTACTGTAAAAAGACTGTAAAGCCATTAATGACACATCTCATGTCATGCTGACAATCTTGTACAGGTAAGCTGTATACCACTCTAATGCTATACATACCTAAATTCAAAAGATACGTTTCACATTTTTCATATTTCACAAAATGCCTCTGCAAACAGTACCCAGTATTTCTATTCTACTTAGCACCCTACTTTATATGCAAAACACATGAGTTCTCCAAGGGGACCTAGACGTCACAGCTAAATATGCCACATTCAAGCTACGACAGATTAAGTTACAACTGAAAACCAGATTAAGTTAAAATTGAAAAGTGGAATCTAAAATATTGCTAACTTTGTAAGTGGTTGTCAGTCATCCTCATGCTTCCCCTTCTTGATGTGCAATAGGGCAACTGCTGTTTGGAGGCGCTTTGCCAAGCAGTAAATCGGTGTGCTCTAGCTACCACCGTGGGTCTCAAGCCTTCAGCACAGGCACCAGTAACCTTGCTGAAAACCGGACACTACAGCATAAATTCTGTCACCAGTGCCGAACCCCTGAGACAGCCTGACCCTCCTCGTTCAACACGCATTTGCCCCATAGATAGCAACTATACCAAGAGCATAATTTGAAGACCTTAGTTCTCCAAAGTCTTATCTGAACACTTACTGTTTACAAGATACTGGATGAAGCACAAAGTCAAAATTCTCTACCACTAGTGGCTGTATCAGAGCATTATACTTAAGCTTAGAAACTCCTTTTATCAATACTGCAGTTCATCCTTTCGTTGGTATAGCTATACCAGCCCTAGAGAAGAATACAATAGCTTAGCTGAAAAATCTTCAGAAAAGCTAGTATTAGTTCAAATTCCTTTTAAAGTCAGTTTTAAAATTGGAAGTTTATACCAACATTAGAAGCCCATCCCTTTTCTGTGTTTATGGCAAGAATACTTCTTAAAGCAACTGTCTTCAGGTTATTTAATTATTTCCATTTAAGTACAGTTGCTGTATAGTTGAAATCATAGAACAAAACAAAACAAAAAAAAAATCACAGAAGCAGCACCATAACAAAACACTATCTGAAGTAATTTGATTCCCATGGCAGGTGTATACCAAAAACCTTGCAAGGATAACAATATTTGTGCATCAGCAGCGATCAGGAATCACTTGTTTGAAGTGTTTGTCACTCCTTCTCCCACCTTCATCACTCTACCCTTCAAAAAAAAAAAAATCCATGCAAGTCTGGAACTTAGCTTAAAACCTGCTACAGAAGTTGCTTGATCAAGCTGATAAATATCATGCTCTTATGTTGGTAGTACTCATGTTTTCATAAGAAGTATTGCACACTTGAGTGACAACTAAATACAACTAATTATAGGAAGAGCAACACAATAGCTAAAGGACATTTGAGTGATACAGGGACTTAACATATGGAAAGCAATTGGCATCTGCAGATCAAGAGAGCATTCCTTTGTTGAGGAGAAAGAGGAGGCCCAAGCTCTTCTTTCTAATTCAGTTGTCTGCGAGGAGTATGTAAAAAAAGTCTCTTCCTCAGAAAGTGACTGTAAATAGAAAGTCATTTAACTTCCAAGATAAGTTTACTTGCAGCATATAAAACCCTGTTGCTATTGTTAGGTATAAGAAGTTGTGGTTTATAACCACACAGCATGTATTTCATAGTCTATTTTTATACTGATACCCTATATGCTACATATTCTTGTACTACTCTTAAGCAAGTATCTGGAAAGGTATGAAAAAGTTTTCCTCGTTAAATTCTCATTTGTACCCCCTGCTGTTGAAATTGCTTTTGCATTACTTCAGACAATTAAGAGAACATTTTCTACTCCATAGCTATCTTTTAGCAAGACGTTAATTAGGGGGGATGGGGGGGGGTGCTACGTAAACAGGAAAAGCAAATCCACAGAGGTAACAGGAATGATGCCTAATGTGCAGGTCTGAACTAATACGATTGAGTTTCAGACTGTTGAGGCATCTATTTTTAGCCACATCAAACAATAAAAGGTTAGAGAATTACTAAAGAACTCCTTTCAGTTTGCAGAAACAATTGAGAAAATGGCTTACAGAAGTAGTATAATCTAGCCTGCTGCTGCTGTGTCTGACACTGCCTTAACTGAATGTAGGGACAGCCTGGACCAGAAAAGCAGATTCCTCAGGTCCCCTCCCCAGCAGACAGCCGTGTCTAAGAGGTCAAGACTCAGTCCCAGTTGTTGGCAGATTGACACAGTGGAGCCAACAGCCAGACAGAAAGAGGATGTCCCTGACGCTGAACCAGAGAACAAGAGCCCACCTCCTCTTCCACGGGAGGTACACCAGGCACTTCTCTTCCTCCATCTCTGGTGAGAGACGAGAACAGGTATTCCCAAGGATAGAGAGGCTCGATTCCAGTCCCAGAGACTATGACAGACAACTAGCTTAGCACGTTTAAACGTTCAAACTGTATCTCGCTTGGTAAAAAAAGCTTCCATGTCTCTATAAAGAAGTCCTACAACACATACCATATTTATTTCCTTTAAAAGCTCACAAACGTCAATATTCACAACACACTCCGATGCTACCGTTTCTAACAAGTTTTCATGCAACAGAAATTTGATCTAAATTTAAAGGACGAGAATTTATTCAGTTCTCTGAGTACTTGAAACTTCATGTTGTCCCTTTAAAAGGGAAGTCTAAACCACATCCGAAGTCTCACCTCATATTCAAAAGAGTATCCACCCGCTGCCATTAATCAGGACAAGCATATGCCAAATACAAACTTTATTCTAGAGAGCTCTGCTTCGCTAGAAACCATACGCATGAAAGTTGGCAAATTTTCAAGTATACGGATAAATGCCTTTTAGTTTAAATAATGATACTGGCTTTGGAAGTGCTGGGTATCAGTTTGGCATACAGAGGCTGCTGAACAGATGCCTTTTTTCCAGCTACCACCTTTGAAGGAGAAATAGTAACATCGTTGTTCATGACATAGCTGAAGCTATGTTTCAATCTTCAAACTACTGACCAACATCAGCAATTAAGAGCAACAAGAGGAGGAACACGTGAAGAGTACCACACTTTTTTTTTTCCCCAAGGTGGCAAAATAAAAAATTCACACTAGACCACCTCAGACAGTTCTCTCTCTCAATATCACTGACTTATTTTCATTAACTTTGAGAACAGGAATGATCCAGAAGATTAAAAAGGCCTAAGCACCTGTCTTTGAAGAACATGAAAATAACAGGTCAGACAACTTGTGCTCAATATCTCAGAGGAAGACCAAAGCAAAGCAGAACCACCTATTTATTATTACCTAGACAGCAGCAAGCCAACATGGATGGCTTTTTCAGAAGCTTACGTCAGACAAAAATTTCTTGAGAAAAATTAACAGGCCTCGTATAGAAAAAACACAGAAGATGTGATCACATTATAAAATTAGTAGAGCTTTTAATGCCATCTTGCATGACATTTTCATAAGTAAGAACATGGCTTATACAAAGCGGGTCCACCATTGATAACTACTCTGTACACGTGGCTTTCCAATGGTTCAGTGGAAGGATGCATCAAACAGAGCTCTCCAGGGGTCTCCTCCGAGTGTGTTATAGGATACTTTAATCCATGACTTGGACAGTGGAGTACAGACTATCTTTATACCTGCAGATGATCTGCAAGCACTCTGGACAGCAGGAATAGAATTCAGGAAGATCTTGCCCAATTGGAGCAATGGTCTGAAATAAAAAGGATGCAATTCAATAAGGATAAGCATGAAGTATTATGCTCTGGTAGCAATAATCAGCTGCACAAGTACAAAACATGGAATGAGTAGCTGACTGCAATTCCACAGAAGAGAATCTAAACAGCAGTTAAAAAATAAAAATCTTGCAAAGGTGCCGAACTTGCAATACTCCTCTTACACAGGATGTACACATACTAACTGAAGCCTTGTTTTATTTGGCCTTTCTGAGCCCTTAACTTAGATTTTATAGCCAGTTTTGTATACCAACTCTTCAGAAGGATATAAGCCTACCGAAGTCCAGGCAAGACCATCAGAAGACATGTCATATTCCAATTTTTTGTCCAATAATCAGAATCACTAAGTAGGAAAATTAAGCATTTAGAAGAGATGAAAGAGACAGTTACAGGCTTCACATAGTTTATAGTATCTACAAAGGAGAAGAAAACTTGTTCTCATACCTATTAGGTATAAGCACAGCACAAACATTACAGGGTTTAATTGCCGCAAAGAAAGTTTAAACTACACATCTGAATTGTTTTCCACACAAACAGCAAGGAATAGAAAAGACTTCTTACAGAAGTGGTGGGATTCCCATACTTGTTATTCTAGAAGAGATCAAGCTGTTATTGCCCCAAAAGATTTCAGGTCTTTAAGTCTCCAGATCAGCCCATAGGCCCATCTTTCACAATTCTTTGAGAATTCAGGACATGGCTAGCAAGATCTTTAAAGCAGAAGTTCTGCCTTTGAATAAGATCAACTCCTATAGGAATCAAATTTAACTATGAAATAGAAAAGAAAGAAGTAAAGAGCTAGCCTAGTTTATACTTTGAAATCAAACTGCCTTTCCATTCAACTGTAAAGTTAATGTCTTTTTTTTGGTAGAAAGTGAGAAATGACCATTCTAAAACAGAATAGTTCTTAGTTGCAGACAAAGCTCATGCTGAAGCACCAAGTTTAAGATTAGAAAGCATCAGTAAAACATCCATTATTCTTGTGTTCCTAGTCTTAGAAGTAAGGTCATTAATCATACAGTGATGCATCAATAGGACTGGGAATTCAACAGCAAGCTTCTAGCTTCCTATCTTTTGCACAGACAGCTATAGGAGCCTGACAATATGCCTGTAAATAAAACTGTGTTCTTCAGCCACATTTATCAAAGAAAAGACGCTAGTATGTTACTTTGTACATCTACATTATTTCTACAGTGCCAAAAGTGAACAGAACACTGAGAAAGAAGTGACTCAAAAACAGCCTAAAGATGAAGCCAGCAAATAAAAGTATGTAGCCTTTATGCAACATCAGAATTATTATTTAACAATCAAAAGACCCAATGGTAAGCACACAGTCTGAGCTTAAGAGAACTATCAGCATATACAGGTGTGTTTTTACTATGGTGATCAATAAGGAATCAAGGCATAAAAAAAAAAGGAAGGTAGAGCCATCAACTGCCCAATTTGATGTGCACTAAAGGACAATAAATTAATCCCTTCTTAAGTTTCTAAAAGATTGGATGTATTATTACCCAGAAGCATTTCAAACCCAAGTTAGTTTTTAGTTATATGTCTTACTGATCACCAATAAAAGGCTGTGTTTAACTTGGTTACTAGCTATGACCTGCAATGAAGACTGATTACAGTTGGTCTCTAAATAAAAACACCTGGCATGGTTTATTTAGGATCTGAACCAGGGATTTTGCAATCACTTGATCATAGCTTATCAGGAAACTCCCAGTAAAGTTTATGGCATTTCGAGATTACGTTTACACTATTAACAGAATTCCTTCTCCATCCCTCTTCTTTTAAAAGACGTTTCACTTTTTTTTTATTTATATCGCCTTCTATTTAAAACTTTGAATCAGCTTTATTTCATAAGACTCCACCTACAAAACAAAGTAACTGGAGTACAAAGCTTTGCAGGAGAGAATGTGGGGACTACATGTGGGGAAGTCAATGTGGAATTTAAGGAAAAAAAAAATCTCAAGATTAAAGCTCTTAAGTTTTGTGTTTAATTACATATCCTGTTCATGTAGTACCTTAAAGCCATTATACTTGAAATACATACCCTGAAAAACCAGCAAGAATTAGATGCTGTTACATTCAGTTTTAGGTGCATTCTAGCTACAGATGACAGGAAAGGCTGACTCAGTTAGCAGCCTGCATGACAGTTTTTGGAACAGAGGCTCTCAACCACCATGATGGACTTTAAAGGGGTTCACAGACTACTTCTAAATGAAAATACCGTAACAGTGAAGAGAAAGCATACTGCATGGATGCAATCTCCACTAGAAAAATCAAGAGATACACAAATTTAAATGCTAAAAATTACCAAATTAGGACATGCTTAACAGCAGTTTTGTAATTGATTCAAGAGGAAGGAGATGAAAGAACACCCAGATGTACTACACAATCATTAGCAAGACAATGCCAGCAGCACCAGCACTCAGTTTCAGCTGCTTTCAAACAAACTACACACTCCCTCCCAACACTTTCAGAAACGATGAAAAATCACCTTCAGGTAACTTTACTGAGAGAACTAAAGAAGCACACATCACCTGGAATAAGACAGGAAAGTCTGACATCAGCAGCTCCATTTCAACTAGCTGCATCTCAGACTCCTGATGTTTGGATTTCAAGTATCAGAAGAGAAAGAACTAGACTTTGCTATCAGAGTTGCATCCTCCTTTCCATAGCAAAGATCAGAACAGTAGCTCATACTTTATTTGCCTTGCTCTCAGAAGAGGATTTTGGAAAATAATCTTCTGCACTGACTAGAAGTCCCTAAGGAGAAATGAATGAGAGATGACTGTCTCAAATGCACAGGATAAGAAAGTCTGACAGAGGCATTTCACTGATCACTTGCTCATTCTGTTGAGATGCTGGCATCAGCTTTCCCCTGCTCTGGGGGCTTGGTGCTCTAAAAAAGACATTTTTCAGTCCTTGTGAATGCTAGGGAAAAGAATAAAACCACTTTTACAAAAACTGGTAATGAGAATGTAGCAGGGACAGAGCAGGTTAGGTCAACATTAATAACAGTCAGACCAAAGGGATGTAGCAAATAATCTGAGTACCTAGTGAGCAATGGTTGGAAGCTTCTCAAATGTTCCAAGCCCACCCTGAACAAAGAGCAGTCACTGGTATCACCACATGCCCTTGCCTGAGGACAATCACCATTCTCCTCAGTTATAAAGGAGAGATGTCAACAATTTCTGCTCTTGTCCCAGCACTGAATAGCTGTAGAAAACACTTTTATACTTGACTCACCACTGCATTTTAAAACATACTTAAAGCCTTTAGCAGTCTTGTACCAAATTAGAGCAGAAGCACTATACCATTTCATATCTTTACTGAACTGACAGACCTGAGGTGATACCGACTTGTGAGACAAAAAGGTAATCTAGCTTCATTTCTACACCTTATTATTATCTGATAAAATAGCAGCAAGTTATCTTTTTTCCCCCATAGGATTGACTATGAAAATCTGGTGTAAAAAAACCAAGAAGCATTTTGACACTATTAAATTCAAACTTTCTTAACAGGTTACAATAATTTAGTATCAACAAGCCTTCTGCAAATACAAAGTTCCTAGCTGTAAAATCAGGATAGTTTCTTCTACTATATACTCCGAAGAACAGCTAGTACAAAACATTCTTTAGTGCAGGCGTTTCATAAAGATTTGCTTTACAGAAGCTAACCAACCTAGCTGTTTCAGGTGGAGCTGCACCTAGTTATTCACTTAAGTCTACCAAATTTTGCTACTAGTAATTCAAAGTCTTCTCTGATTAACATCACTTTGTAGTTTCTGCCTTTCAAGTCTCTGGTAGACACTAAATCAGTAGAGCACAGGAACATGAGAAATGAAACATTTCCCTTTATTTTATTACATTCTTTGAAAGCATGAGTCCAAGTTTCTATAAGGAAAGAGTTCAAGTTTACATATACTGGCGAAAATTAATGAGGCCAGTAGAACATCATGCTTCCTGTTCACAGAGCCTTGAATCAGAAAAACGGTGGCACTTTGCCTTAAAAAATAACCAAGTAACAGCAGTCAGTAACTGTGTTAGGTAATAATCATTCAGTATTTCTGAAGGAACTTTGCTGAAGAGTTCAAATAGTAAATTCTGATATGACTATTTGATACTAATCATGGAAAGAACAACGCAAGTGCTCATCTTCTAAATTTCTTCTTACTTCCTTCTGATCTCAACAGCTGCAACTCGAAACTCCAGGGTGCAACTCTCTCGGGTCCCAGAAACTGGTCCCCAAACCTCAGGAGTTCTATATAGTAGACAATCCTGTAATCCTGTATAGTAGACAATCCTGTAATCATAACAGCTTTAAGGTCATTCAGGACTCACTGATGATCTTTTCCACCCTCTACATCCCGTCTTCCCACTTTCCAAAGCCAGACTCGGTGCACTCTTAGTTCACTCCCGACTAGTACTTCTCTTCCAGCCAGGTAACCAACGCTCTCGGGCTCTTCCTCCCTGCAGACAGCATCATCACGGATATGCTTGTTAAAACACTGTGTGCTAATAAACCAAGGCTGTTTTGTGAAGGCTGCCATGGTTGTCTGTCAGGCTGAATTTTAATTACATAATCTTACAGATTGGGTAAGGACTAATCTGAGTGATTCTGTTCTCAAATCAAAACACATAACAAGTGTAAGATGTCTCGTACCAATGACTTGTCTTCTCACTGGGTAAAGTTAACCTTCAGTTCTTGTAGGGAGGATACAATACAAAGTCATTCACATGATGCACAGCTTACCTTCAAGAAAAACACACAGTAGATCACATCTTCAAAGAGAAACAACTACAGATTAGAAGTTGATAAACTTAATGGCAATGCAGAAAGTCTTTGCTTGACCCAGTCAGGGATTCTTGCCACTATTAAGAAGCTTTCAAGAAAAACCACAGAAAGGCCCATCAATATTATCCATGTTTCGATAAATTGAGACAAGCTTTAAAAAAAAAAAAAAGGCTTCTTGAAAATA